AGAAACCTCCCCATTTCTCCAAGCAAAAAAACCCAAAAGGCCGGGAAAAAAGGGAAAAAAAAAAAAAAAAAAAAGAAAAAAAGAAAAAAAAAGGAAAAAAAAGAAGCCACATAATACTAAGAGTGTTTCACTGCTCCTCTCCGGGCTCAAAATTCCCTGCTCGAGCCAAAACCACTGTTCTCCCTTCAATCTATTCATCTTTGTCCTCCTACCTCAACAAAAACGAGCAGAGGATTTACCCAAAATAGCTTTTTCTCCGTCATTCCCGCAGCTGTGTTTGTCTTGGTACCCAGGGAAGGCCGGGTGGGATTCCCGACGGGCGGCTCTCGCACCGGCAGCATCCCGGCGCATACCGGGGGAGGATGAGGTCAGGGATGTTGTTCTTGGGAAGGCAACAGGAAACCGAGAGAACAGCAGAAAATGTTCAAATCCAGCTTTTCTGCGCGAAAAAAGCCCTCTGCCCTGGCCAAGGCAGACGGGCGGGGGACGGATGTGACCGGGGAAAAGCGGCGGGATCCGAATCGCAGGGACGCGGGGAGGGCAGGGGATGCTCGGCCCGGCGGATCCCAGCGGGCAGGGCGGTGCCAGAGCCCCGCTCCAGGAGTTTTTAGGGATGGGCAGGCTGCCAGCACCGCCTCCTGCCTGCCCGGCGCCCTCCGGCCAGGCTTTTACTGGAGGCAGGTTGAGGAGAACTGATAGAACCTAATCAAATCAAATCAAATTAAATTAAATCAAACCAGCAGAGCAGCTTTTGAGTACATCAGATCCTGCCTGAGCTGTCAAAGTGCATCACGCTTCGAGCCACATCATGAAATGGATCCGGGCTGGGACCTGCCAGGATATGGGGAAGCCGGGGGAGCCCTTGCTTTGGTGCTTGTCCCCCCCTAGAAAATGCTTGTCCCCGGCACGGGACACCCCGGAGAGGACAAACAAATCCCCTGGGGACAGCCGGGTCCGTGCCCGCCCTGCTGCCGCCTCCTCCCCGGCAGCTGCTCTGCCCTTCCCTCCTTGGAGCACTTCCCTCCTTCCATCCCAGCTCCCAGCGCACCCCAAACCCCAACCCGCTTCCTCCGGGCGTGGGAGGCGCGGGCAGCTACCCCGCAGCTCCGGCACAGCTTCCCGGGAGAGAGGAATTGCCGGCAGATGTTTGGAGCTCGGCTTTGGGAAGGGCTCGAGGTAAAACAGGATCTCCACGTCCCGCTGGATCTGCTGGCACCAGACCCTACCCAGCCCTGCCACAGTCCTGGATGTCCCCGGAGGGCAGGGGTGTCCCTGGGGACATGTGGCAGGTGCTGGTCCCGGTTTCGTGGGGGTTCATGGCTCTGGCTGAGCTTGGGTCTCACCCTGCGGGCCGGATCCCGAGCATCCCTAAGAATTCCGTGGCATCTCATGCCCTAGGGAAAGCCCCATCCCAAGCTGGCACCCGAGGCCACCCCATCGATGCCTCCGGTATTTCCAGCCCAGGGTTACACCGGAGGGATCCAGCTCCCGGCAATCTCAAGGAGTGAGGCACCAAATGGGGGAAGCAGCTCCGGGTACCCAGCTCCAACTGCCCTTTATTTTAGCCTGTGATTGCCATGGCAACAGATCCACAGGGATGACGCTGCTCAGCATCCCACTCCCCACCGGGATGCCCGGGATGAAGCCCCATTCCTCGGTGGAAATCGACCACCAGCCCATCAAGAGGGACTTTAGACCTCCAAACGCCGAGCTCCAGCCTGCCCAAAAGCTCCTGGCTGTGATTCCAGCCCTGCCACCATCCCTGACCCCTCTGTCCCGCTCCCGCAGGCTGGGAAGGGGATGAGGATGTGGGACGCCACGGGAGCAGCAGCAGCAGGCTGGGAATGAGCTCCTGCCAGCGAAGATCTGGGCTGGAAGTTCTCCCAAACCTCCCCCAGCAGCTGGAGACCCCCAGGTCAAAGCGAGGAGGCAGAGCCACAGGGGAAACTGAGGCACAGAGCTCCGAGGGCAGTGGGAAGCTTAATCCCTACCTGCATCCACTCAGACACATCCCAGTTCTCCATCAGGGATCCGGGACCCCCACACCCGGCATCCCCAGCCTCTCCCTGCATCCCGCCTGAGGCTGTGCGCCCCGCCCGTGTGAACGGCGCAGGAAAAAGGGAATTGCTGGAAAAGGCAGCCTTAAAAAAGCTGCAGTGCCCAGGGTGGGACAGAAAAACATGAGTCAGTGTTTATCTGGGCAGAGCTGACCAGGCTGAGCGGGATGGGTCGGGATGGATCCCATGGATCCTCCTGGCCACAGTGTGGGGTCGCTCCCATGGAGAAAGAGCCCCAATCCTGCCAGAAAACGAGGTTTAACCTCAAAATTTGGGTCATGAAAGGCCCCTCCCAGGGTGAAACTCTGGCAGAGGAACCCAGCCTTCCCTGGCACCAAATGTTGAAAGAGCCACCCCGTTCGTAAAATCTCGGCCTTTTGCTCCACCCGTTGTGCTCTTGGGAAGGCGTGAAGATTAAAGGGGAAAATTTTGGGTGTTTGTACCTACACAGGCAAAGGTTTCCTTTAAAAAGGGCAGTTTGTACTTCTGAGCAGCTTAAAATGACTCCGCTTCCAAGATAATAAAAGTTCTTTCATCTCCTCTGCTCTCTTCTTTTCTAATAATCCAAGGTTTTCTCCTGGCATTTCTCAGGCAATCAAAGCACAAAAATAACTCCCTTTTCCAGAGCATCCTCCCTGCTCCATCCCAACAGTTCGGTGATGCTGTCCCTAAGCACGGCTTGGGCTTTGGGGACAAAACCTCGGGGGCATCACTCCGGATTTGGGGCATACAAAGGGAAAGAAACCCAAGGAAAGAGAACCAGGGCTGCAGGAGGGACGTGACCCCTCGGGGGATGTGGCACGGCTGGGGACAGCAGGCTCAGCCCCCCCCAGAGCGAGGAAGTCACCCCGGATCCACGGGAGCATCCTCCCAGCTGTGCTCTGCGTCCCCAGCTGAATGCTGATCAGCAGGGCAAAGAAAAGCCACCCTGTTCTCCCTGTCCCCAGTGAGGGGACACTGCCACACTGTCAGGACATCAACCCCCCCCAAATTCACTGCCAGCTCCTCTCCCTTCCGTGCTGTTTTCCCACCCCACAGGCTGCAAAGTCCAGCTCCAAAGGAGGGTGGGATTTTAGGGAAAATTAGGGGGTTTGGGGTGAAGACAGCGGGGATCCCAGAGGTCCCAAACTCATTGTTTAACAACAGGGGAGCAAAAAACCTCAGCTGGTTGCAAATCTCCAGCAAACCTTTCCTCCCAAATCCCTGTAAAAAATATAAAGTAACAAATATATAAAAACCTGGAGGTGTTTACCTGAGCTGGATAAATCCTCAAGGAATTTTCAGCATTTAGAGGCTGGATTAGACATCCGTGCTTCTCCTACAGCCCCGTTAGGGCTGGCATGGGAACGACCCTGGGCTTGTGGCTTTGGCATCCAGCTGGAGCTGACACGGATATTGCCAAGGTTTCTCATCCCGAGGAGACGCACATGGGATGGGGGGGATGAGCAAAATAAATGCAGCCCGTGGAATAAACCAGCTGCTGGCCTCAGCAGAGCTGGAAGGGGGAAGCTCTGGGGGAGGATGTTGAATTTGCGGAGTTTAGCCGGACACAGGAGGGGATGTGGCAGAAGTGACGTGCCCCATCCAGCACCGCTCCTGTGCTGCCCACGGTGGCTTGGGAATTTCTTGGGAACCTTTGGGAAGGGTTTGGGTATCCCTGACTCTGAGCACAGCCAAAGGGTCCCCTCAGGCTCCTCCACCCTGGCTGCTCCCCATTCCTGTTCCCCAGTTCCCCCAGATCCATGCCCTGCTCCTGGGATGCTCCTGGTCTCGCACACACAGGAGAGGGGTAACCCAAAACCATTCCTGCTGCAAGGGAGAAGAGAAATTGCTCATCAGGTCCTGCCCGTTGCCAGCTGTTCACCCAGCAGTGCCTTCCCAGTGAGGAACTCAGCCTGTCCTGGTTTGTACTGGGACCCCAAAGCGAGGGTCACCAGCCAAGGGTGCCCTGATCTTGACCCTGTGCCGCTGGAAATCGCCAGTGGCACCCACGGTGATCCAGCACGAGCTGAGCCTGGATGGACACAAATCCCTGGACACAAATCCCTGCCCTGAGCCAGGATAGCTCATCCAGAGGGAGATGCAAAACACCCGGAGCAAAAGCTGCACCGTGCTGCGACAGAGCATCACCTTCCACCAGAGCCCTCCCTGCTCTCCGTCATCAAGATCCAGGAGTTTTCCAGCTCTCGGCTCCAGCCATGCACACGGGACAAATCCCAGTTCCCTCGGGGCTGGAAAACCACCACCCAAGAGTGGCCAGGGGACAGGGGGTGATGCCAGCAGGGAGTGATGGCAGGTGGGAGGGAGCTGAAGGCCACCATGTCCCATCAGGTGGGGACATTGACCCCGTCCCACGCGGACGAGCTCCCGTGAGAGCCGAAAAAGAGGAATTGGAACTCTGTGTCGCAACATCCCAGAGCTGAATCAGGGCTGGAAAAGTGCTGATGTGCCGGCTCGTGGGGCTGCTACGGGGAAAGGAGAAGCCCCAAAAAGCCCTGACGTGTGAAGCGGGCAGGGATGTGCCAATCCCCCTGTGGAACCGGGCAGGAGGCTCCTGACCGGCTCCCCGGTGTCCCTCCCTGCCAGGGGCTCGCAGGACCCCCGGGATGGGCTGGGAGCATTCCCGTGTGGGATATTCCACATTTATGGCACCTGTGGAGTTCCCCAGCAGGGTGCAGAGGAGCAGTGCCCCAGGGGAGTGGGAAATGCAGCCCAAAGTTATAAAAACCATGAGAAACACGGAGCCGGCTGGGGAGCGGCACAGGTCGGATCTGCCCCATCGCTCTGCCGCTACATCCTGTCCCACCTGCTCCAGCAGTAACACCCCCAGTGCTCCCGGTAACACCCCCAGTGCTCCCAGTAACACCCCCAGTGCTCCCAGTACACCCCCCAGTGCTCCCAGTAACACCCCCAGCGCTCCCAGTATCCCCTCGCAGTGACCTTTCCCGATACCTCGTGCGGTGCCAGCGCTGTCCCGCTGCTCCGCGTTGGGCAAGACGAGCTCGGGGTGCCCTGGGTGCCAGCGGGATCCCATTCCCAGGCGGATCCCGGCTCTCCGGGACCAGGCACAGGCACGGTGCCGCTCCCCGCCGGTTTTAAGGGAGCGGGGAGGGAGCTGCATCCATCACCAAGGTTTTCTTGGCAGCGAGATGCTCGGCGAGCAACAGCTGGGAGAGGGTGTGACTCCGGGAGCTGGGAACGCTGGCCTGGATCACAACCCAGCGTGAGGAAGCAACAAGCTGCTTCCCAAGGGGCCTCCTTTCCTGTGCCGCCCCCCGGCCCGGAGCACTCCGAGCCACCGAGGGATAACGGAGCGCAGAGCGCTCCGCAGGGATGCTGCTCCAGCCGGGAGCACAAGGAGAGGCAGGTGGCTGCCAGCTCCCCTCGCTCTGCTGTCCCCACCCTGGGTCAACCGCTGTCCTCTGCTCCCCACCACCGCCCCCAACTCCTTCCAAGACGTTGAGTCACTTCCCCTCAGGCAAATCTGGCTCCCAAACGCAGCTCCTGCTGCTCAGGGGCTGCTTTTCCCGATGGATTTCATTACCACCAGGATGCTGCAGCTGCTTCCAGGCAGCCCCCCAGCCCGCAGAGGCTCTGTGGTGGCAGCTCTGTCACCCCCAGCCCCTTTAACACCTGCAGGAAAAGTTCTTTGGGGGCCACAGAGGGGTTGGGAGAGGCTCCAGGGACCCCCGGGTAGCAGGGATGGGAAAGGCCGGATGCAGGGATGGGGTTCAGGGGGAACAAACAAGAGGTTTTTGGGGCAGCCCCCCAGTTTGGGAGCACTAAGCAGACCCCACCCACACGGAGCAGGAGGTTTGGATAACCCCA